TCTGCCTGTAAATGTGTGTGTGGGGCTGCAGGGATTTTTGTAGAAGGGGGCGGGGGTTTTGTATTGGGACAGGAGTCTTTATAAGGGGGGATAAGCAGGGGATTCGTGGAAGGGGGTTGCAGGGGTTTTGTAGACGGGGCAGTACAGGATTTGTAGAAGGGGCAGGACAGAGGTTTTGTAGGAGGGGCGGGGCAGGACAAGGGGTTTGTAGGAGGGGCTGACAGCGTGTTTGCAAAGTTTACAAATTGTAAAAAAGAAAGAAAGAAAACCTTTAACATTTTTTTACAGGTGGGATTTTTTTTGGGAGGGAGGGAGGGGGGTGCCAAGCACAGGATCCTCCCCAGGTGCCAAATGCTCTAGGTACGCCCCTGATACAGTCTCAAAGGCAACGTAACCAATCTGGCGAATTTCAATGTGAAAAAAATGAAAAGTGTAACATGCTATATTTGACCCTGTAACTTCCCAAAACACCATAAAACCTGTACATAAGGGGTACTGTTTTACATGTGAGACATCGCTGAATACAAATATGTGTATTTTATCGCAGTAAAAGCAAACAGTATTATGACATTCACAATGTCATGTAGAACTAAGAAAATTTTAAAAAATCTTATCTTCTCTCATTTCTTTTATATTTTATTCATATTAAATTATGTTTCATACCTAAATATTTGATGTTAAATGAAAGCCCCATTTCCCCTGAATAAAATGATATATAATAAGTGTGGGTGCATTTAATATGAAAGAGGTAAATTATTGTTGAACAGACATATAGTAAAATTCTGTGGTTTGTTTACTTTTTTTTGGATCACAACTTGTACATTTGGCTGCGGTCTTAAGGGGTTAAAGTAAATGCAGTGTTTTTATTAAAAGGTCTGGCAATTAAACAAAACAAAGAGAAAATCCTTGCTTTTCTGAGTGCTAACTGACACTTCTTACTAACTACAGTTGGGCGGCATACCTGCTGCCAACAATGCAAAACACAAATTTGAGCACAGATCTTTTTCAAGTGCAGATGTTTATTTTCTCCTTGAGAATACTCCTGGATTGGATTCCTCACCTTTTGTGCTGCATGTACACTGTGGAGTGGAGCACAGGCCCTCCCTTCATGCCAAATCCCAGGAACCCATATTAAATTACAGAATTGCTGTGACTAAAACAGACAAACATTCTTCCTGGGGCTATTAGATCGCATATTGCAATACTTTTGGAAAAATATATACACCATCCATAAATTTCCAAATATTTAGTGGATATGCATTAAAAAATCAACCTTTTTTTTTTAGTCCTGCTTCAAAGATTTTCTTCAGGATCAAACACATAATGCAAGTACAATCCAGAGTTTATCCTGTATATATCATTATAATTTTGGTTTTCATCTTTATTATATTCAGAGTCTAGCTCATATATACACTAAGATTTCTGTGTTATTTCTAGATTATTTTTTTTTTGTGTTATTTTTAACTAATTATTACTAATATACTTATTTTTTATTATTTTTTGGACCCTGTGGTCCCTTTTAAATGAGCCTGAATTCTACACATTTTGTGTTGTAGTCTCAGGCCCTGACTAATCCTCTCCCTACCTTAAAGGTACACATTTCCTTTGTTTTGCATCCATTTTCACTAGGGGTTATCCCCCTTTCACTGTGTACCTTGGCTGTTTCTCGACAAAGTTTTCTTACCTTTCCAAGGGGAAAGATTATTTGGTAAAGTCCATTCAGAATGCCGCAGATGGGAAGAAAGTGTTTCTACCACAGTCAAACAGAAGACCCTACAGCGCACCTTACAGGGGCAAGTTTAACAAAGAGAGGTCATTTTGATTTATTAGGTCATACAAGCCAGAAAGAGAATTTGGTAGATCCCAGTGAAGATTTCAATCCTCTTCCTCCAACAGAGGATATAGAGGTAGAGGTACCCTCCAGAACACAAAATTATTATAACGGTCGGGACATCCAGACTGGAACAGTGGGAGGCCGTCTAAAACACTTCTTTCCGGTATGGGCAACATCCATCAAAGACAAATGGGTCCAGAGCATAATCAAAGACAGCTACAGACTAAAATTCGAAGAATTCCAAAAAAAGTAATGTTTCATCGATCAAGAGTGTCAGCAGGCGTAAAACTGCCAATGGAGAACTGCCTTCAGCAGTTGATCACTCATTTGTTCCTCAAATGAAGGAATGCAGAGGATTCTATTCAAATGTATTTTTGGCTCCCAAACCAAATGGAAAATGGAGACTTATTTTGGACCTGAAAAGAATAAATCTATATCTCAAGAACATGTCTTTCAAGATGGAGTCTATTGGATCCATAAAACAGGCCATCCATCAGGGCGACTGGCTAACATCGATAGATCTGAAAGATGCATACTACCAGATCCCGATACATCCATCCCATCAGAAGTTCCTGAGGTTCTGCATGTTGGAAAAAAAACTATCAGTTCCAGGGCATGCCATTTGGTCTAAGCTTGGAACCAAGAACATTTTTGAAGGTTCTCATAACAGTCATTGCAATCCTGAGAAAAAGAGGAATCCAAGTATTCCACTACCTGGATGATATCCTGGTAGTAGAACAGGAGTACCACACGGCAGTCCATCAGACAGAAGAGGTGATCTTAACTCTGCAAGAATTTGGGTGGCTCACAAACTGAGACAAAAGCAATCGCATTCCATCCAGACACATAGTGTTCCTTGGAGTGAGTATAAACAACTATCAACTATCTCTCTATCCCAAGATCGCATTGCTCAAATCAAGAGCAAGATTTTAGAAATACTTCCAAGGACAAGACTTCGAGCAAAAGATTATATGAGTGTCCTGGGATCCCTCACGTCGACCATAGGTCTGGTCAGATGGGCACATTGGAAGGCGAGACAGGCTCAGGTGAACTTCCTCACACAGATCAACAAGTCAGCAATGAACTGGGATCAATGGATCAGAATTCTTCTACTAAGGTGGTGGATAGAAGGATCCAGCTTGACTAAGGGTTTTCCCATGGAAGATCCCCAATGGGAAGTTATTACTACAGATACAAGTACAAGAGGATGGGGAGCTCACTACAAAAATCTTGTTGCACAAGGAGTATGGAACAACCAGACCCGTCTTCTTCACTCCCACATCCTGGAGATGAGGGCAGTCTTCAAGGCACTCATGTCTTTTGCCACTTACCTGAAGGGGAAGAGGCTGTTGATAAGAACAGACAACAGGGTGGTTGCTGCCTACCGGATACACCAAGGAGGCACAAAGAGCCATCAGCTGCTTTTGCAGCTACAACAAATTATGCATTGGGCCATGATTCACTTGAAAGACCTAAAAGTGGTATACTTACCAGGAACAGAACATACCTTAGCAGACTTCCTGTGCAGAGCGAGTATAGAGCCAGGGGAATGGTCTCTAAACAGGGAAGTCTTCCTACAGGTAGTGAGGACATGGGGAATACCACAAATAGACTTGATGGCCACGTCGAGGAACTCGCAAGCAACCAGATTCTACTCGAGATTAAAAAACAACCAAGCCGAATCCCAGCATGCCTTATCCCAAAAGTGGGAGTTCGAGTTGGCTTACATTTTTCCACCAACACCACTAATCAGCAAAGTACTGAGGAAAATTTAGAAGGAGAATTGCACGGTGATCGCAATCATCCCATCATGGCCGAGGAGACCTTGGTTCATCTCCTGTTACGAATGAGCCAAAGAGTCCCAATAACACTTCCATTGAGAGGGGATTTGCTCATCCAGGGTCCAGCGGTACATCTAGAACCCCAGTCACTTCAGTTAGCAGCATGGTTCTTGAGGATAAACAACCTCTTGAAATCGGCCTGACAAAGTCTGTCTCTAATACTCTGCTAAGATCCAGGAAATGCTCTACGTCAGCCTCCTATTATAAAATATGGGGAAAGTTCTGCTCCTGGATGGTGGATAAGGGAATCCCTTGTGATGCACCTAGCGTGGCAGATGTCCTGATCTTCCTTCAAGAGGGTCTGGATAAAGGGCTTAGTCTGAGCACTCTAAAAGTTCACGTTTTGGCATTTTCAGCATCGACAAATTCCAGATGGGCTCTGGATCCTCTCGTAATGAGGATTATACCACCTACCAAACAGTTGGTGCCTCCTTGGGACTTACCTCTAGTTCTAAATGCTCTCATTAAAGTACCATTTGAGCCACTAGAAGAAATAGGAATTTATTTGCTCACCATGAAAACTCTATTCCTAATAGCTATTACATCAGCCAGAAGAGTCTCAGAGATCCAGGCATTGTGTTCTGAAGAACCTTATACTGTGTTCCATCAGGATAAGGTGGTGCTGATTACTTAACCTGACTTTCTTCCGAAAGTAGTTTCTAGATTCCACATTCAACAAGAAATTGTTCTACCTTCATACTTTCCGAATCTGACAAACGAGGAAGAATCAGGATGGAGCAAACTGGATGTGATGAGATGCCTAAAGGTCTACTTACTGAGATCAAAGGATTTCAGAAAGTAAGACACACTTTTTATTCTGCCCTCAGGCAGTAAAAAAGGAGAAGCAGCATCCACCACAACATTAAGAAGATGGTTTTTTTTAGTGATTAAAAGGGCTTACACTTCCCAAGGCCATCAGGCACCATGTGTCATCAAACCACACTCAACAAGAAAGCTGGCTGCTTCATGGGCTTCAAGAGCAGAGGTGCTAGTTGAGGACATCTGTAAGGCAGCTACATGGTCTTCTCCGATCACGTTTGTCAATCACTACAAACTAGATTTGTCTTCCTCAAACGAGGCTTGCTTTGGGAAGGGTGTTCTTGCTTCGGTGGCAGGGAAAGACAAATAAATAGTTTGATTCTTTCAGCATCAATACAGACTACTGTATTCACTACCATGTGTTAAGGCCCCACCCTTCTTGGGAGCTTGGGTAATACCCATATGTAATGCTGCCATGTATGGCCAGGAAAGTAGAAAATTGTTTCCGTACTTACCGTTATTTTCTTTTCTCGGCTATTATACATGGCAGCATCACTCTCCCTCCCTTTTGGAGTCTTCAACTGGAGCTATTTAACAAGACTGAGGGGTCTAGAGGGGAGGTAAGTATGGAAAAATGTTGTACTTTTTAATGCATATCCAATAAATATTCAGAAATTTTAAAGGAAGACCTGAGTGCAGCCTTCTCCTTCATTCATTTGGCTTCTGTAAATAAATCATTTGTAAATGTTTCTAATAATTTTAATCATTCTGAAAGCTTATTAAATCAAGGCCATTATTAGAATGATTTTATAAATGTGAATTGTCAGAGATTCTGAGTGAATCCATCGTGAATTTTGACAAAAATAGCCAAATTGGAAAAGTCAGTGTATTTTGTTTGGCTGTATTACCCTAAAATTCACATATTAATGAACAATGTGTGAGTTTTATAGGGAGGACAAATTTTATGTGCATGTGAGTCCCCTAATTAAAACATGTGCATGATTATTTTCCTTTGCCTTCCACCTTTTTATATTTAATTGACCTGTAATCTGATGAAAATATAGATTAAAGGGACACTATAGTCACCAGAACATCTACAGCACAATGCAGTTGTTCTGGTAACTAGAAACATACCCTTCAGGCATGTTCATGCAAACACTGCCTTTTCATAGAAAAGGCAGTGTTTACATTGCCCCCCAGGGATATCTCCTGTGGCCGTCTTAACTAGTATATCTCGAAGATTCCTGTTGCGTTTATAACATACAAGTTGTTTCTGTCTAAATATGCTTGGAAGTGTCGAATCACATGCTAACATTTTCCAATTGCTTGCAATAACATTAGTTAATTTAGTAGATGCCTCATTATATGTCGTGGGACAAATTGCACGATTCTGTAATGTTGAAGGTTTTTTCGGAATGTGTTGTCTTGCTTGTTTTAGAGCAACATCTAACTGTTTGTTATTATAGCCTCAATTTCTAAATTTCATTTTCATTTGTTGTAATTGTTCTTCCCTTATTTTCTCATTTGAGTTATTCCGTATCGTTCTTAAAAACTGTGCTTTGGGTAATGAGGCCTTCAATCTCGCTGGATGTGCGCTCTGTGCATGCAAGATTGTGTTGCGATCCGTAGATTTTGTATATAATGAGTAATGAATACTTCCTTCATTAATCCAGATTTGCAGATCTAGGAAGTGTACTCTATCAATACTTATTTCCAATGTAAACCGAATCGGACTGTCTACGGCTATTAGGTTGTCCACCATATTTTGTGCTTCTAATGTGGTTCCTGTCCAAATAATGAACAAATCATCAATGAACCTGAAAAATCTTAAAATTCTGTCACCACAACGAGGTAAAATGTGTGTTGTTTCATATATATACATTAGCATACATAGGGGCCATGGCCGCCCCCATTGACATACCTTCTATCTGCATATACCACTCTTCTTCGAATCTAAAATAGTTGTTGGATAACACTAAATCAAGAAGTTGTAATGTGTATTCAATAGGAGGACCATTGTATGCGTTTGAATGTGTGAGTACTTGCCTCATAGCCTCTATGCCCTGGTTATGTGGTATAACCGTATAAAGGCTTTTAACGTCCATGGTCATTAGCACTAATGGGTTCCCATTCAACTGTAAAGTTTATAATTCCTTTATTAATGATGGCGTGTCTTTAATACAAGTTTCCAGCTTTGTCACCGGTTGTTTAAATAACAGATCCAACCATTTTGCTACAGGTTCCAACACACCCCACCACTGCCAAGACGATTGGACGTCCAGGGAGGTGTGTTAGATCCTTGTGGATTTTCAGGATGGTGTAAATAACTGGTATCTTGGGGGTCTTATTGTATAAATATTCAGCCATTTTTGGTTCAATATATCCTGCAAGAACTCCTATATTTAGTGTGTCTTCAATTTTACGTTGAATTTCCTTAGTAGGGTTCTGTGTTAATTTTTTGTATGTGGACTGGCATCGTAATTGTTGTCTCAATTCATGTGCATATTTTTCATATTGCATAATCACAATTCCTCCCCCCTTATCCGTAGGGCGTATTATTATACTTGGATCCTCCGCTAAATTCTGAATAAGTTTCCTCTGTGTATTCGTTAGATTTTAATGTTTAATTTTATGTTTATTAATTTGGTCTCTGGATTCACTCATCACCGTGGACATGTATGTCTTCAAAGATGGGTTGTTGGTAATAGGGTCAAAGGAAGATTTAGGCCTTCAAATATTAACCTGTTGTTGTATTGTATTTATTGAACCAGCTTTCTTGGCATAAAATTCTTTAAGTCGTAAGCTTCTCCCAAACCGGAAAATATCAATATTCCATTTAAATAACTGTGGTTTCATTGTGGGGAACATATGTCAATCCTTTACTTAGAATTTGATTCTCTTCTGATGTTAATTGTCTTTCCGAAAGGTTGAAAATTGGAATTAACTCTTGAGTGGGGGTTTTTGGCGACTGCTCATAGGTCTTGCCCCCCTGTCCTCTCCTGATGTGTGTTCTTGATTTTTTTAAAACGACTGCAGGTTGTAATCGCTCCACCTGTTGCTCCTAAAAAATTATTTTGTCTATGAACCTCACTGTCTGAAGCTGATTCCCCCGATGTAATATCTACCGTAGGGATCTTTGGATGTTGTATGCGTCTCCTAGGCCGTCTCGGCCTTGGCTGACCACCCGAGAGCCATTTATATACAGAATGTTCCCTATAATCTTGCTTCACTCTCTCCAATTTTTGCTTCTTAAATTTAATGAGCTCATTTTGATATTTAGCTACTTCCTCCTTAAGGTTCTGTTGTAATTTTAACCCCTCAGTTGAATTCAAAAGGAGTGCATGTTCCATCTCTACTTCCATAATCCTCTGGCGTGTATCTGCCAGATCTGACTTTACATCCTTAATAATAATTAACATTAAATCCAATGATGCCTTATTTAATACTTGTGTCCAATCTCTACAAACTTGAGGCTTTAATCTGCCTATTGTAGGCACATTCATAATCCGAAATCCCCTTGGGATCTGTTTGGATTTGAAATAATCAGAAAGGAACACCCCATGGAGGTCCAGATCCACCGCTTTTTTATGTAATTTCAGCAATTGAAAGTAAATGTCTTTATTAATATAATGAGTGGTAAATTCCAAGCTATATTTATCCCATAATATAGCCTTTGTTTCTTCTGGTGTAAATTGTAAGGTCTCTGCATTCTCTGCATAAGCTCCCGCTTGTAATAAAAAATCATCCATTTCAATTTTCTTCAATAATATCCAAATCTATGTTGTTAACAAAGTATACATATAAGACTTGATTAAATGCTTTAAATCATTAATGCTTTTAAGCCCTTAAGGACCAAACTTCTGGAATAAAAGGGAATCATGACATGTCAGACATGTCATGTGTCCTTACGAGGTTAAAGCTGCTGGTGCATAGGTAGAGCCTTCCCCTTATCAGGCTCCTTGGTAGACACAACAAAATCAGAACTCCTTGCACTCAAGCTTAATATAATTAATAGCCAAAAAACTTCTACTTGCCCGGTGCCAGTCCTCTTAGGGGAATATATGAGTTAGGTTTACTGTATAATTGTCACTTTGTTCTGAGGAAGGTCCCTGTGCGCAGGGCCGTCTTTAATTTAGATTGGACCCTGGGCGAGCATTTACTTGGGCCCCCTGACTACGTCTAGATACACACAAATACACTACCTGACACACATGCAGATACACACTGACCACATATAGAAACACACAAGAACATACAGATACACACAGACTACATATAGATACACTGACACACACACAGATACAAACACTGACATACATGCAGATACAAAGGTACACACACTGACTACTTATAGATACACCGACACACACACTGACAGACAGACACACAGAGACCTGACACACATGCAGATATACAGATACAAACACTGACACATACAGATACACACACAAATACAAATGGACAACATACAGATACAGAGACACATTCTGACAGACGTACTGACACAGACTCACACACAGAAAACCATAATGAAACACACATACACAAAGACATACTGAACCACACAGACACTGATGGACTCTCA